TATACTTCATTTGGACATTTCACTGTCTTTTATTTTCTATTTTGAACAAATTTATGAAGTTTTTGTTAAGAAAAACTCCCTTTTGATGTGTAAAGGGTTAAATCCATCTGATCAAACATGCCATAACCAGGCCCACCATGGTTGTTTAGGGTAGAAAGGGAAGGATGTTTTAGTAATTTTGCCTTGTGGCAATTTATGCAACTCTCCACTAATTCCCAAACTAGTTGATGATTCATGCTCCAGACTGCAGCCAGACAGCTGGCCCACGGTTTACTTAATTCAATTCCTTAAATTTAATCAAAGAATTGGTCTACAGTTCACTATAGAGCCTTTGTTATACGGTATGTTACAAAGTCAAAACGAGTCACTTCGACTAATTTCCACTAAGGGCTCGTGTACAGGTGCTATTCCAAGTGGAGACTGTATGTATTTATTGTCGTAGCTGTGCAATAATGGATTATTTAAAATCCACCTATATAGATGCCATAGTGGCAGGTCTATGGGATGTATTATCATATACAGTAACTAAATATCCATACGTTCACGTGTTTTTAAAAACAATTAAAATTTGTGAGCTACGAAGCTGGTGTTTAGCGAGCGATAGCATTGGATTCTGATGTTGTATAATTTGGTTCTTAGCAGCACCCTCATAATGTATGTATATTTACGTGAGTGCTACTTTCCTGGTTTCATATGTAAATTTAATTGGGAGTTCAGACCAACTCCCGTGATTTTGCACCCCTCCCTGTCACAGGTGCCTAATTCCAGAACCCTATTTAACCTTGCACTTACATTTCCTAAGTAAGTGGGTTATTCTCAAAAGAGTAGATGGTACATTGCTAGAATAGGACCTGTGAAAAATGTGTGTGTGTGTGTGTATATATATATATAAATTTTCCAGATATATAAATTTCTAAAATGTGCATTTTGTTAGCCAGGTGTAAGTAGAGACTCGATATGGAAGTATACACAGTTGCAGATTCTATAATAATTCTCAATTTTAACTTAATTTGTTTCAGACTTTATAAAACTGAAGTTAAGTTAATACCTGTGGCAACTGTAATGTCGTCAGAGGCACATGGATCCATATGAATTGTCTTAGCTATCCTTTCTCTTCATATATGAAGGTGTTCATGCAAGGAAATTGATTATTATCAGTAGGCTAACAACTCACAAATAAAGCTCCCAAATAACATAACTTTTCAAAGGACAACATGCACTATTTCATTTTATGTGTGAACCGTGTCTCTTTCATATTGACACATGTAATTTATGTCCTGTTAACCATTTTATTGCAAAATTTGTATATTTTTACAATACGTATCAAATTAAAATTTACTTTTTCACCTCCAGAAGCACACTGAGGGTTCTGTGCAGTATCTTAGCTGTTCATAGAATAGCACTCTTCTGGACAGCTATCTCAGATGTCTCACCTGGAATCTGCTAAAACCACTCCTCCAACTTGGCGGTCACTGCCTCAAGTATTCCTATCACAATTCGGATCACTATTACTACCTTCATTTTCCACTTACTTTCTAGCTCCTTTTACAGTTTTTCACCTTCTCACTGTATTACCACATCCATCACATCCATCACCGCAGTGTTCCATTCCTTGTCTACCACCACAATGTCAGGTTGGTTGACCACTGTTCACTTGTCTGTCTGGATTTGAAAGTCCCACAAGATCTTAGCCCTGTCATTCTCATCTATGCTTTGTGTTATCTCCCATCTGTACTTGGGCAATTTCTAGCCCATTCAGATATTTTTGTAAACAATCCCAGCAACTTGGTTGTGCCGAGGGCCGGCCTTAGGCCATTTGCCTGTATAGAGTCACACAAACAGTTACAGGCAGACAGTCAGACACACTCAGTTACAGGCAGACAGTCACACACACACACAGTTACAGGCAGACAGTCACACATGCTCAGTTACAGGCAGACAGTCACAGAGCCATACACACAGTTAAAGTCACACAATCACGAACAGTTACAGGCACACAGTCACACACACAGTTACAGGCAGATAGTTACACACACACAGTCACAGGCAGACAGTCATACACACTCTGTTACAGGCATGCAGACACTCACGCATGCTGATAAGCACACACACAATCAGTTAAAGGCAGATAGTCACACATACAGGCACAGATACAGCAACACACACAATTGGAGTCACACACAGGCAGACAGTCACACACACACACACACAGGCAGGCAGACAGTTACACACACAGACAGTCACACACACAAACAGGCAGGCAGGCTGGCAGGCAGTCACACAGACAGACTGTCAGGCACACACACAGGCAGACAGACAGTCACACACACACAGGCAGGCAGTCACACACACACACATACGGGCAAACAGTCACACACAGGCAGACAGACAGACAGTCACACACAGGCAGGCAGTCACACACACACACACACACAGGCAGGCAGTCACACAGGCAGACAGTCACACATACACACACACACAGGCAGGCAGGCAGGCACACACAGGAAGGCAGTCAGTCACACACACAGGCAGGTTGTCACACAGGCAGGCAGGCACACACAAGCAGGCAGTCAGACAGTCACACACAGGCAGAAAGTCACACACACACTCACACACATACAGGCAGGCAGACAGTCACACACATACACACACACACAGAGTTAGGCAGGCAGGCAGTCACACAAACACACACACACAGGCATGCAGACAGACAAACAGTCACACACAGGCAGACAGTCACACACAGACATACAGACTTACCTCTTTCCATTATGGCTGGAAGGAGGAGTGGATGCAGTTGGTTGTTGGGGAAGCAGGGGCTGCTTCCTTCTTCCCTCTTCCTGTGCAAGGGTTCGGTAGGTAATAGCCCCCCCTCTGCCTCATGATAAGCCCCGGCCCTTGCCTTGCGATAAGCCCCGTCCCCACCGCCTCAATTTTTGTTTTTTATAGACCCGGGTGAAGAATAATTAGTCCTCCATCCGGGTACCTGTTTAAACTCCCCTGACACTGGCCATGTGCGAGCTGTGTCGGCCACAGGGAGCCCCTTGGTCTATGGCGCAGCCGCACAGCTCGCAACCCAGCCCTGGTTGTGCCACTTGGTGTATGCTGTCCCTGCTAACATCTTGCATCCAGCTACTACGTGCAAGATTGTCTTAGTGGTCCCTTTGCACAGGCTGCACCTTGGATCTTGTCTGGTGTGGTAGACCCCCACTTCCGTTGTGTCACTACTGGGAGGTATAGGCTCTTACTTTGTGCCCAGGAATGGTTTATTCCAGTAGCCCACTTGTGGTCAGATTGCCCTGGTTCCCTAGCATCTGACTCGGATCTTGTTAATCTGAGCTCTCTTGGTTCATGTTACTCTCATGTTATTGAGCTAGGCTGGTGCATATCATTAAATGACTTGCCAGGGGACACTTACTGGTAAGGTGGTCTGATTGGGATTCAAATCTGGGCTGCCCAGTTATAAGGCAGTCTGTATATAACCAGTATAGCCAGTATAGATATATAGATAGACCTATCTAGATTTCATAAGTATTCTAAATTTCATTATGCTACTCAGAAAACACATACAGTAGTGGTATGGAGTAGTAGTGGTAGGTAAACAAGCTCAAGTTCTCTATTAAATATGCCCACTGGGGTCCTAAGCTTGAAGTGGGGTGTTTCCTAGCATTTCTGATTAATATAGTAATATAATTAGATCACTTTATTGGGTTCAAGGTCAAGATCACTTGCCAAATATTATCAGGATGGAGAAGCCCATTTACTGGTTCCTTTGTTGTAGTATAGCAGCCCTGTATCTTCACCATTTCACCACTCTCTCTCCGTTAATAAAACATCCAGGTCTGCCATCAAAGGGGTACAAACAGAAATATGGAAAGCCTGTGCACTGTCAATATAGCCAGACTTGTAAGGAAAGAAAATTAAAGAGTGAACCCAGCAACACTTTAACCAGTAATAGGGTCTGGACAAAGGCTTGACAAATGCTCTTGGAAGTTGAAGCATTGTTGGGGTTCAGGGGCAGGCTGACAGCTCACAGGACCTTTCGGGCAATAGGAGATCAAGGACACCCTTCCTGGTGCAAGGTTTTTTGGCTACTATTACTTCTTTGTTAGGCTCTCAGATATTATGTGCCTACTACCCAGAATCCAGAATGGCTGGGCCCTCAAACAGGGGCAGATTTATTTTTAAAGGAATACTATAGTGTCAGGAAAACAAACTTATATACCTGACACTGTAGTTGTAATAACACTATTTAGGCCCCCACCAGCCTCTCTCTCCTGTCTTTTTAAGGTGATTTTACACAACTTTTTTCCAGTGTCGCACCTGTCTCGTCACGGCTGACTGAGGTGGGAAGTTGCAGTAGGTGAGGTAGGTGCATGGAGTGATAGAATCTGAGGTGTGTGCAGGGGGGGCATAGGACTGACAGACAGCTTGATCCTTATCCTCAGCGGCCGTAAAGAGGAGGAGAAGGGCATGATGTGGTGTCTTTTCCCAACCCCTGGGCCCTACCTCTTCCCCTCACAGAGAGCACCAGGCAAGAACTGAATGATTGCTACCAGGTCTTACTGAGAAGGGGGGGGCAGTCACTTACAGGACTGCAGGAGCATCCTATTGCTGTAATATGGGAGAAACTATGTTTTCTGGCTTGGGGGTCCTCTGATCTCCTCATCTAGAAAATGGCTGCTTCGGGCCCTCGGTCCACGACCAATCTACCCAAGTGGTCAGTACGACCCTGCTGGAGTGTGAGACTTGAGTGACACCTAAGGCTACAATGTCTACAACCACACTCTAAAGATACTCATATCTGCTTTATTTATTTCATGCAATTTTAAAGCATATTTGCTTTATTATTTAAAACAGATCTACTACTAATAGTTTTATGTATTTAAGGGAAAACCATAAACAATACCAGCTGCTCTTTGGTCAACAGCAATTGCCCCTGAACTGAAAGGGACATTGTAGGCACTATATCTAATTCACCTCATTGGAGTGGCTGAAGCCCCCTAGTACCATCCTTGCATTCAGTGTTAAACTGTTTTAAATGGTCTAATCCTATGCGATAGTTCACAGCAGCTCATCCCACATTCTGCTCGGGCTTATGGTGAAGTATTAGCATAAGAAGCTATATTGGCTTTGATTGGCTGAGAGTGTCATCTGACCACTTTCAGCCTATCACATTGCACCGGGTCAAGTGTGAATTGGTATGGCTAGAAGGAAGTGTGCAATGTCTGCTTTAACCTCACCCCCAGTAGATTGGTGGTGCTGTAAGCCATTCAGTGTTAGAGTATTCAAATGGTTTAATACTGAATGGGGGCACAGTGCCAGAGGACTCAATGCACTATAACCAATTCAATTAGATTAAATAGTTATAATGCCTAAAGTGACGCTTTAAGTGCTTATTTCACCTTAATATAAAAAAAACCACACATATATATATATATAATGTGTCTAAGTGTCATATATATATGTGTGCACATGTACATGTGTGTCTACAAATATGTATCAGTGACAAAATAATTAGTCTAGCTTATCATCTACCTAGACTAACCATCATATAATAATTTACATAGTCTCCCAGCGAAAGACATTAAGCAAGAATAGATAATGTTTCTCTTCCTCACACCGATCATTGGGTTTCCATTGATAGACGTTGATGACTGATAACTGCTGGAGAGACAGGTGTTAAACACAGTTTCATTTAAATAATATTTTCTTTGATAAAATTCTTCCACAATGGGGCAATAAAACATTTCTTTAATGCATGTATTTTCATGAAAATAAAAAAACAATATTACATTTCAACAGTATCAGTACTGTAGGAATCTGATAAAATGTACCTAGTGAAATACATGTCTCAAGTTCCAAAGAGTTTTCCACATAAAATAGTCTCTGGAATCCTTTTCACAATGTGGGTTTTACTGTTAGTGCACAAGAATAAACATCATTTTTATAGGAACAATCCAAGCACCATCACCACTACAGCCTGCTAGCTCATTGGCAGATCACTCTCAGCCAATGAGCTTAGTCCTGCACAGCCAAGCTTAAATTAGACAGACAACTTCCAGCTTTCTGTCTAAAGTATCAGAAGCAGCATTTGGTGGACCCCAGATAAGAAGTCATGAAGATGAAGATGCGCCATGATCCTCCTGGCACCATAACTACTACAGCATGCTCTAGTGGTTATCGTCCTTAGAGTGTTCCTTTAACCATTGTGACAAGCTACAGGAAATATTGTTGTGACCTACTCTGGTCACAAATAACCCTTGTAGTTATAGATATGTAACCAACACTTTTCACATACACATTTAACGCTCATAGGTTGAATGGAACATTTCTAAGTACCTTTTTTTATGTCACATGAATGGTGATTTAATAGACTTTCTACAGCAGAAGGGCAAAACATTGTATTTAGGAATGTGACATGCAATACTTTATACACATATGCATATACTTAGAAAAATAGTACATTTAATCAAACAGAAAATATATTTTGAGAATCACTAGACAAAACTGAAAATGTTGTTTGTTTTTGCAGATATACACTGGTCCACAGTGTTTTCCATTATAAGCCGAAGGTGGTTATTCTCACCTTTGGCAATCTATATGGCTGTATAGGTTTATTTTTTTTTAAATGAATGCGTGTCTTGTACATTGTGATTCTTAGTGTGTATGTATTCATTTGGAATGATTTATAGACTCTATACAATTTTTCAAAATACGCGTTTCATCATATACAAAATTCATTTCACCAGCACTCCATTGAGTGTACACAAGTTCTTAATATGTTAACAGGGATTACTTGTTGATCCCCAGCTGTTGTCAGTTGCTGGTAAAGCATCATCGCAGTTTAAGGTCTACAACAGCTGTGAATCTACCTTTTAGACTATCTGTATGGTCCTTGATCTGCGACCTCTCTGCACAGAATATCATTGACTGGTAGGAATACTAAGCATGAATGATAAAAGAGTGGGTCTCGTGCAAAATTTATTTAAAAAAAAAAAAGAAAAATAAATACAGAAACCTTTTTTCACCAACCTTTTATTTATGTCCATAGTTAAGGACCTAAAACTCAATAAAGATCGGGTGCATCCTGCTTTTTTTCTGAATTGAAACGTTTGGATGTTCTTTTAAATAAACTAGATTTTCTATTGACCTCTTCAGTCTCACAGGATTGGTTTTCCTAAACATTTGATATAGTAATTTTGGGAATTTTACTATCTTTGGTCAACCTTTTTTGTCATTTAGTGAAATTTTCACATTGTGGTATAAGGGACAAAATGGTTTTCAAATGATTGCTTGTCGCATAAAAGTCTTGTCCTACGTCAATCTATCATATTTTATTTAAACACATAAGCAAAATCCAAGGGTTATATTGGATGCAAAGTTTGGACCTTAAGGACACATTCAGCATAAACTAGAATATACGCAGTAATAATTTACATTGAAGCAAAGTAAATTTAAGCCTTACTAAAATCTTGTTTGCACGTAACATTCTGCTTTTTGATTGCATCTACTTAGATACAAAATTAAGCTGGGTTATAGTGGGGGCAAGCACAGCTTTAAATGTAGATTCTGGTATTAAAACAGTGATGGTTTGTTAAATTAACAATAATTTTGTAAAATTAAGACTTAAATTAAAGACTTGAGGGGTTTAAGTGAAAACTACCGATATTATTTTTTTTAATTAAACGATTTCATATATTACAGCCTGTGTGTATATTTTTTAATGTATAATATATTTTTTACCAGGAAGATACATTGCAATGTATACATTTAAGAAAGAGCATATTTTCAGTGAATTTCTTGACTTACACATGCTTTGTGGGGGCAGCCATCTTTATTTTCACCTTGTTCTTTCTGACAGAAAACCTTTTGGGGTTGTGTGCGTTCATGAATCCTGACATGATGCACAAATGCCAAGGATCTCAAAAAACGCACTCTAGGATGGTTTTGGACTTTCAAAGTGTTCATAGCCTTAGCAGATAACTGGCCCTTCTTACCACAGATAGCTAAAGATGGATGCCTCCATAGAGAAAAAGTAAGTCAGAGAATGTACTAAAAAGAGTTATTAACTTATGTGCATTCATTGCAAAATAATACACAACAATGCTATATAATATGCCTTTTTTATATTTTATTTTTTAAATAGTAAGAAAGTTTAATGCCAGGTTTCCTTTAACTCATTGGGGTAGTCATAATTAAAGGAATCACTACAAGGAGATTCCAGTTGGATTTAAGTCAGTGGCAGGAGCTTCCAGCAGCAGTGTAGGCCATGGCGGTTTGTAATTTTCCTCTGATAGGGCGACAAGGCACTCCTGGCACCATATGCACTGCAGTGGTTGTAGTGGCGTTTGGAATGATCCTTTAAATATATTTAAAGTGGCTTTTTTTATATGACACCTTGTTAAATGACCAAGTTCAACATAAACAGGTTCTTACCAATCTAAAGTAAGACTTTCTTGTCCAGGCGTTATTTATTCCTCTAAAACAAAAACATGTTAGTCAATTTAAGTTAGTGTCATTGAATAATGACTGAAACAGAATGATAACATTTAATGTGGAATTCTAAGGAAAAAGAAAAAGCTCGATCTAGATTCTGATTCTAAATCCATTTTGTGAGCTGCAAAAGGCCAATAAAGTTGTTGTTAACGTGAAGAGGAATACATATTCATGTACATCACGTCACATTTGACCTTCAGTGAGAAAAAAAGACCTGCTTATTTTTTAGAATTCCTTTTCTTTCCTAGACTTGACTGTTTGCATTAGTTCTAAAAGCCCAGATCTAAATCTAACAGTGTTACTCATTAAAGTGAATTTTAAATGTAAGGCCCAACTAGGCAAAGAAGCATAACCGATTTAGTGATTTATTTTCCCAGTATGTCTATTTTGGCATTAAATCTGAAATTCACTTTGAACTATCACTTTATTGAATAACCTTTTATTATTTTTAAATAGCTTTTTATCTTTATTGCCCATATACCTGCCTTTTTTTTTTTTTACCATTTTCTGTAAGCAAGTGTAAGTATGTTTTCAGATACCTTCATAATTCCATAGGTATTCTTCACTGGTGTTTTGGAGGCCTATTTTTGCTGTTATTTAGCATTTTGAGAAATGTACGTATCTGACTGTCAATCCATTTTACAGATATCTAACCATTATACAGTGCAGCTGTCATGATAGATAGGATTAAAGAGATAAGCGTAGATGATAAAGTTCCAGCGAATGACATATATATGTGCATCTTGTGAACCTTTTTATGATTTCTTTCAAGAAATTTTGACTAATCAGTTAAGGCTTTGCCTATGGGTCCTCTAGAATATGACATTTTATACTGATATGTTAACATAACTGTAACATTTGTTATGTAGAGAACTTTTCGCAAAATTGCCCGACAGTAAATCAGACTTTTTTCCCCCCACTTAATAGCCCATCATCTACAAAAATAAGTTGCAAATTGCATAGTCTGGCTTACATACAAAATAATGAAAGAGCATTTCTGCAGTAGAAACATAGGAAACTTGGTGGGAGACATGTAAGCTTGTCCTTAACCCTTTACTGCAAGGTTCTGATGGGTGTTAAACGAGACTTATGTTTAATATGCTGGCAATGAAATTATACGATTTGTACTGTCTTCTCAGAACTATTCTAAAGGGGGCATTTGGGGATGGAAAAAGAATAAACAACAAATGTGTATCCTATTCTCTTGTTCTGAATAAATAAATTCCACAGGATCTCTTTACAAGTGGTTGAATGTCCATGTTTCGGTTGTTTTTTTACATTCATGTTGAAGATGTCTTCCTCTGCACTGCTGCGTTCTTCCATCTTCTCCAGTTATTTTCAAGGCCAATTGAATCACAGCATTTATAGGTTTGAAGGCCGTTTGTGGGTCTTTATGTTTTCACACCTCAGATGAGGGTTTCCCAATTGATTTTGACTTGTCGATTCTTGACATTTTTAAATATGCAGTTCTATATCTGCTAGATCATTGAAGTATTGGAGGCACGAAACAGCGAGGAAATTACCTTACCCTTCATTCCTTTTGAATGTTCAGCCTTGAAAATCCTGTTAAAAAAGAGGATTAGGTCAGTCACTATCAACTTTGAGAACATTTACAATATTCCATATTAATAAATCCTTTTCATTAGTACCTTCCACGTTTGGTTATCAGAATAAGAGGGATATATAATACTTCGAGTGAACATCATGACATATTTGATTGCTTTGGGAGCTGTTAAAATCTAATTTACCTGCTGCCCCTGGCTCCAGCAG